GTCGACAACGCATCCGAAGAAGCCGGACCTTTCCCGTTCTGCTCCGTCAACGTCCCCATGGACGAAGAAAACCCTCGCGAAAGTGCCAACGCCGAAGTTTTCTACCACTTCGCCGACAACGGTTACGTAACACCTGCGACAGTCAACACCAACGAAGCAGAACGGATAGGGCCAAATTTCGAACCCGACCCAGAAGCGGGAGATGAAGCAGCTTATCCCGAGGACACAACACTCCCCCGCTACTCACAGACTGGACTGCAGATTCTCGGCCTCGTCACCGCAGTCCACGGCAACGCACTTCCTAAAGAGCCTGCGACGGTTCAGTAGGCTCTGGGGGGGGAACACAGGGAAAAATGGCGTGAAGCCATGGACAGAGAATTAGAAGCGCTGGAGGAACGTAACACCTGGAAAGTCGTTCCCGTAAGCGTGGCAAGGAACAAGACCATCCTCACCGGGAAATGGGTCTTCCGCATCAAAACGAAGGCAGACGGCACAATCGAGAAGTTCAAAGCACGCTGGGTCGTGCGTGGATTCGATCAGGAGCACGGACGGGACTTCACCGAGACATTCGCCCCGGTTAGCCGACACATTTCACTCCGAATCCTCCTCGCGATCGCCGCCATGAAGAAAAGGAAACTACGGCAAATCGACATCGCTAACGCCTTCCTCTACGCACCCGTCGACGCCGAAATCTTCGTCGAACTTCCACATGGTACCCACGGGGAACCTAATGTCAAGAATAATATGTATTTCTATATATTGTTTTTGTAACTGCCTGTAGTGTAGACTACTGTAGTTATATAATGTTCTGTTTGGTGGTGCACCTTTCTTCTTGCCTATTTGTACTCCTCGCTCTATAGTGAAACTCCTCTTTTGTTGAAACTTCTCGACTTTCCTAAACTCACTCGAGCTCGACTCTCTCAACTGCTCGATACCCCATTCTTGTTCTAACTAGCTATGGCTCCTTAGCCTAGCTCAAGCTTTTGTCATGCTATCAGAGCGTGTTCCGCTCCTGGACTCCTGCTTCCGCTGCTACTGAGTGTACTGCACGCCCCGTGGTGTGCCCTACTGTCGCGGCCCGGCCGCCCTACTGTCGCGGCCTCGCCGCCTCTCTACTGTCGCGGCCCCGCCGCCCTACGTCGCGGCCTCGCCGCCCTTCACTGCAGCCCCGCCGCCCTTACTACGGCCCCGTCGCCCACTTGCGGCCCGGCCCCGTCACCTACCAGCGGCCCCGTCCAGCGCCGCCCGTGCAGCCGCCCGTGAGCTGCCCGTGCGCCACCCGACGTGCCGCCCGTGCAGCCGCCCGTGAGCCGCTCGTGCAGCCGCCCGTGCAGCCGCCCGTGCAGCCGCCCGTGCAGCCGCCCGTGAGCCGCCCGCGAGCCGCCCGTGAGCCGCCCACCACGACGCCCACGCCGCCCGTGCCACCCGCGTCACCTCGCCGCCCTCGGCCCCGGCCCCGTCTCCTACACCTGCGGTCCCGACCCCGTCTCCTACACCTGCGGTCCCGACCCCGTCCCGGCCATGCCTCGTCACCAGCTGCGGCACACCGGGGGCACGTGCACCCCCCCCCCCCTTCTTCCCGTCACCTGTCGAGGCGACCTGAGGGGCGACCTGAAAGGGGGGGGCAGTCGTCGCCCCCTCTGCCGCTTGCTTTGGCGCCCGGGGAGGCCGTGCGTCGCCCCCCCCCCCCCCCCTCTTCTCCTCCTCCTTTTGTTCCCTCTGCTGCAGCTGCCGCTGGGGGGGAGGGTGTGAGAGTGTGGGGGAGCCCGGGGAGGGACTGGGGGTGGCGGGTGTGGGGGTGATGGGTGATGTGTGGTCCCCTGGCCCTACGGCCCCATTCTCCTCCGTTCCCCCCCCCCCCCCCCCCCCTCTGCTGCTCCTGCAGCAGTGTGAGGGGGATGGGGAGGGGGAGGGGGAGGGTGAGGGGATGTAGGGGGTGACCAACCAGAGCCTACCACCTCCTCTCCTCTCTCTCCCTCTCTCTCCCTCCTCCTCCTTGCCTGCCCTCTCCCGTTCTGCTACGCACTCTGCCTCGTGTACCCCATTATGGGGGCGTTGACTGCATATTCTTCCCTACAGGCACTTATGGGGGCGTGTCAAGAATAATATATATTTCTATATATTGTTTTTGTAACTGCCTGTAGTGTAGACTACTGTAGTTATATAATGTTCTGTTTGGTGGTGCACCTTTCTTCTTGCCTATTTGTACTCCTCGCTCTATAGTGAAACTCCTCTTTTGTTGAAACTTCTCGACTTTCCTAAACTCACTCGAGCTCGACTCTCTCAACTGCTCGATACCCAATTCTTGTTCTAACTAGCTATGGCTCCTTAGCCTAGCTCAAGCTTTTGTCACCTAACCAGGTCTGTCAGTTACTAAAATCGCTCTACGGAATCAAACAAGCCCCGCGGCTGTGGCAACAGCACCTACACACTCGCCTCACTCGCATCGGATTCCGCCAACTGCCTCACGACCAAGGAATGTACCGACTCACCAAAAACGCTGACTACATTCTGCTGATCGTCTACGTCGACGATTTACTCTACATCGGCTCTACTGACGACATAACCACCTGGTTCGAAGGAGAGCTGAAGAGGGACCTCACACTCACGGTCTCCTCTACCGTCACTCAGTACCTCGGACTCAACATCCGCGAAGAAGAGAACGCGATCTATCTCAGCGCCGAAAAGTATGCCGACACTTTCGCCAAACGCTTCGCACTCACACCTACTACTATCTCCACGCCATACCGCTACACGGCAGGGAACGACAAGGGAGGTCCCACTCTACTAAAAACCGCCGGAATACGCGACTACCAGAGAAAGCTGGGCTGCCTTCTCTTTGCGGCCGTCACCTGCCGTCCAGATCTGTCCTACTCCGCAAGTCAACTCGCCACCTACCTCAAGAAACCCGAAGCAGAACACCTGGCGGAGCTCGACCGCGCACTCCACTACTTCGTAAGCACCTCAACGATCGGTCTGACATACCACAAGAATACAACTACACCGACGAAACTAATCGGCTACGTCGACGCCGATCACGCCGGCGACTCAGACAACAGGCGCTCCCGCACTGGCTACATCTACCGCCTCGAACCTATCGGACCTATCTCCTGGCAATCGAGCAAGCAGGAACTAATTGCTCTCTCCTCAGCTGAAGCAGAATATATCGCACTCTGCTCAGCCACCAAGGAAGGACTCTACCTTCGCGAGCTGCTGGAAGAAGCAAAGTCAGCCGAGTTACCCAACTTCACTCTGTTCTGCGACAACCAATCTGCGATTCACATCGCCAACAAAAGCGGATTCGCGAACAGAACAAAGCATATTGCTCTGCGATATTTCTTCGTGAAAGACGAGATCGAGAAAGGGAAACTCGAACTATCTCTCAGAATCCCAACCACTAGACCATTGGGATAAAAGGGCTTATTTCAGTAGCGGGTCAGTGCGCCCATAACCCCCCAGGCAAATGTGCCTGTAACCCTTCCGTAGGATCGATCGGGGATCACCAGTGGACCTCTGACACCCCCCCGCACTGGGATGCCCGAAGTGCATACACCGGGATTCGAACCCGAGACCTTCGCTCTGGATACCATCTAAGAATCCCAACCACTAGACCATTGGGATAAAAGGGCTTATTTCAGTAGCGGGTCAGTGCGCCCATAACCCCCCAGGCAAATGTGCCTGTAACCCTTCCGTAGGATCGATCGGGGATCACCAGTGGACCTCTGACACTATCCTACTGTCCCACGTCCGAGATGGCAGCCGACTACTTGACCAAGAAGCTCGGAAAACAGAAGTTCGAGTACTGCATGCTGCTGACTGGACAAAGCCACGTCACCATCAGCGACACTCCAGAAGCGAAGGGGAGTGTTGGGAACAAATAGCCTTAAGCGCTTATGTCGTGTCGAAACTTCAAGACACAAGCGAAGCAGCGCAAATCGAAGCACCAGCGAGTCAACCCTCGGAGTTGATGTAACCGCTGGAGGTTACGAGAAGGTCAAAGGTCAGCGACCTTTGACTTGACAAAAGCAGCGCGACAGCAAGGACACACAACTGACTCGACATTGAGCAGTTGCCCGAGTCGCACTGTATCGAACCGCAACAGTAAAGTAGTTATAATTATGTCTCTTCATATTCTCTGTACTCATATATATATTTTTGTATCTTTTTGTTTTAATCAACTTACTTTGCCCTCAGATACTAGCGCAAGGTGGTTCAAGGACTTTATTCAAACGCTTCCGCTACTACATCGTTTACTCAAACTTTAACTCTACCAAAAGATCCTAGGGCGTTTCAGCCCAACAAGGAGGACCTCCTTAGGGGGGGGTAGTGTAAGGAAAATTCCTTTTCCTTACTTCGCATCCCTGATCAACGCGTACATCACTGTAGCACCACAGTCAGCACCGTTACCACTCGCAACCCTCGCATCGATAATCCGCCCGCCACCTTCGCACGTCGCACCCCAACCTCACGGCTCGGCGGGTAACCCGCGCTTCGGGCCTCTGCTTCGACACTTTTTCCCAACCTCAGTCCCAGGCCCGTCGCGCGACAACCACAGTCCATTACCGTTACCACTGTAGTTTCGCTATATATTCTTCGCTCATGCCTTCTCTCATTGTACTCTTGCTTCGATAGTGCAATTCTCGTACGTTCACTCAATTGCACTCGTAACACCCTACGTGAAAATTGATTTGGAATGTTCATGCGAAAGATATAGCATTGCTTTTAGTGCAAGCTACGCAGTTGAGCTTTTGCCACCAGCACGATTGACGAAACCTCGTCTCTCTCCCTAGGATCTGGCTAAAGCGTCTGGCTAAAGCGACGTACTTGTATTACGGCAATTATAGCTTGCGGCAAATCCAGTTTGGAATCTGTGGAATTAGGCACTTCGGGATTTTCTTTGGAACCCGTGTGCCAGTTGTAGGTATTTCGAAACGCCTCGAAAACGTCAGGATCGGGCTTGCAACCTACGTAGCACACGGTCTCGGTAGCGTTTCGCGACCATGGTTCGTATTACGGAGTGCGACGCGGGTGACCCAGCAGCATCTGACCGCGTGATTGATCAGTATGGCCGATGGGTATCGGACGGTGACGAGGACGACGATGACGAGGAGGAGGAGGAGATGGAGGAGGAGGCGAGGCGAATCGCGAGGCGAGAGTACATGGAAGCCGCGGCTGCAGGGGCAGCGAGAGCGGCGGCAGGGGCAGCGAGAGCGGCGGCGGCGGGAGCGGAGGGGGAGGATGATGATGATGAAGATAAGGATGAGGAGGACGAGGAGGATGAGGAGGGCTGGAGTGATATAGGAGGGGACGAGGATCGGATGAGCGGAAGGGGCGGCGGCGCAAGAGGGGGGAGCGGCGGAGGGGAGATGAATCTGCGCGCGACGATGGGTGCGGCGGAAGAGGCGCAAGATATGGCGCGATGGGTGGGCACGGACGATACACTCGATATGGAGGAGGAGGAAGACGATTACGACCGTTTCGCCGAGGGCGTGGGGCTCGGGAGATTAGGCGGCGGCGGCGGAGGAGGAGGGGGATCGTTGGTAGATGCTGACCTGGAGCGCGAGGTTTCTGACGAGGAACCGGATGAGGATGACGTGGCGGCGGCCGGTGGTGGGGTTTTGAGAGGGGTTGGGGAGGGAGGCGCGGGAAAGGGAGGGGCGCGGACGGGAGGAGCAGCGGGGGCAGGGACGAGGGGAGCGTCGGCGGGGGCGCTGGTGCCAGTGGGGAGGGGGAAGGGGAAAGGGAAGGGGCGGGGGAGGGGGTTGCGGGGGAAGGGGAGGGTGGACTGGCGGAACGAGTTTCAGGAGCATGTGGATCGAGTGGGGTTGATTTTCCAGCGGATGGGAGCTGGGGAGGACCTCAGAGCGGCATCACAAGGCGCAGCGCTAGAGGCCGCTGCTGCTGCTGACTCTGCTGCTAACGCTGCTTCTGGTGCGTCTCCTGCCGCTGTTCTTGGCGGCGCTGCAGCTCTTCCTGCTGCTGCCGCGCCTGCTTCTGCGGGCGCAGCCGCAGGTGCAGCGGCAGGTGCGGCGGCGGGTGTTACGGCGGGTGCTGCAGGCACGAGGCGGGGGCGAGGGGACGTGGAGAGTGCAGCGCGGAGGCTGGAGGAGGACTGGCGGCAGGCGCAGGGGTCTGGCGCTGCTGCCGTGGCTGCCGCTGCGGGCCTGCTGGAGCCCTCCTGGGCCTCCTCGCATGCACTCGGAGGAACGCAGATTGGGCCACCCGGGAAAGGAGCAGTGGCTGGAACAGGGGCACGGGCAGAAGCAGATGCAGGAGCAGGAGGAGCAGGGGTTTTATCTGAGGGAGTAGCAAAGAAGGACGGCAAGGGCGGAGCAGCAGGTGGAGAAGACGATGAGCTGGGCCCGGGACCCACACCAGGAATCTCACCAGAACAGGCAGCGCAGGGAGCAGCAGGTGAAGCAGGAGCAGCAGGGGCAGCAGCAGGGGCGGCAGGGGCAGCAGCAGGGGCAGCAGCAGGAGCGGCAGGGGCCGCAGCAGGGGCAGCAGCAGGGGCAGGGGGATGGCGTGGAAGGCAAAGCTGGAACGAGGCGTTTGATGAGCTCTTTAAGGCTGGCACCACGGCAGGTGCTGGTGCTGCTGCTGGTGCTGGTGGTGGTGGTGGTGGTGCGAGTAAGGAGAGTGGCAGCGCTGGGACTGGTGCTGCTGTTGGTGTTGTGAGTGATTTCCGCCTGGGGGAGGGGGGGTGGGGTTCAGGGCTTTGGAGCAGGGGGGCGGGGAGGAAGGCGGGGCAGGCGGGGCTGGCGGAGAGTGTTGAGGGAGAAGGGGAAGGGGAGAGAGGTGGTGAAGGGAGGGGAGAGGAGAGGGGGGGAAATGGTGGTGGAGGGGAGGGTATGGGGAAGGAGGAGAAGGACGGGATGGGATGCTGGGAGAAGGATTTGGAAGATATTGGGGAGATGGATGACGATGGGGAGAAGAGTGGTGGGGAGGAGGGGGCACGTGGAGGAGTGGTTGAGAGGGATGTTGATATGCGCGAGGAGGAGGTGGGTGCAGGTGTTGCCACTGCTGCTGCTCCTGCTGCCCCTGTTCCTGCTGCCCCTGTTCCTGCTGCCCCTGTTCCTGCTGCCCCTGTTCCTGCTGCCCCTGTTCCTGCTGCCCCTCTTCCTGCTGCCCCTGTTCCTGCTGCCCCTGTTCCTGCTGCTCCTGCTTCTGTTTCTGCTGCTGCCACTGGTCCTGCTTCTGAGGGGGAAAGTGGCCTAGCTTCTAAGATGGTGATTGCTAGTGCCGATACTGCAATCGCGGATACTGGTGGAAAGGAAGCAGGTGGTATAGAGCAGGCGGGACGATCGGACGAAGGGGAGAAGAGCGAGGGGAGGAGGCCTGAAGGAGAGCTGAGTCTAGCCGGGGCTGTAGAGGTTACTGTGACAGGAGAAGGAGAAGGGGAAGGTGAAGGGGAAAGGGAAGGGGAAAGGGAAGGGGAAGGGGTGGGAGTTGGTGCAGGAAAGCAAGGTAAAAGAGAAGGCCAATATGCCAGGAAGGAGTGGGGTGATGCAGACATGCCGGGGCATGGCGTGGGCGTGGTTCCTGTAGAGATGATTGGGGTGGATGGGAGCGAGCAAGAGGAGCTAGGGATGGGAGTGGAGGCAGGAGAGAAAGGAGAGGGCGTGGAAGTGGAAGTAAGGGAGAAGCGTGAGGAAGGGAAGGAGAAGGGGAGTTCTCTTGCTGCTGCTGCTTCTGCTGCCGGTGGTGCGAATGCTACTGCGCTTGTTGCTGCTGCTGCTGCTGCTGCTGCTGCTGCTGCTGCTGCTGCTGCTGCTGTTACAGCTGCGGAGTGTGCGTCTGAGTCCAAATCTCCCCTCAGTACCAGCAGGAGCGGCACAGCATTGAAGGGAATATTGAAGCTGGGGAAGCGGTCAAGGGTGGACACAGATAGTAAAGAGGATAGGGCAAGGCAAGGAGGGGACGTTGGAACCACAGCAGCAATAGCGGCAGCAGCAGCAGGAGGAGGAGCAGCAGGTGTAGGAGAATTGAAGGGCGACGGTAGCACGAGGGAAAGTGGCTTGGATGGGCCGGGGGAGGGGCGGAGGCAGAGGCAGCGCAGGGTGAGGTTCGCCCAAGGAGTGGTGGGCGGGGAGGAAGAAGAGGAGGGGGTAATAAAGCCTATGGGGGGCTTATTTCGCATGGGATGGCAGGGGCAGGGGCGGGGGGGAGTGAGTGGTGGCATGGGTCCCTGGCATGGAGGGAAGGGAGTGAAGGACGATGGAGGTGCGTGGGGAGGAGGAGGGGGATGGGGAGGTGGGGGGGCGTGGGCGGGGGGGAAGAGACGGCAGAAGATGGGAGTAGGGCAGAGGCTAATGGGGTTGATATGTGGGCAGATGAGCCGGGCTAATGTCAGTGGTACGCAAGGCAAGGGGATAGCTGCTGCCGGTGGGGATGGTACAGGAACAGGAGGGAGTGGAAGGATTGATGGTTCAAATTTTACAGATGCTGCAGTTGCTTCAAATGCCACCGCTCCTTCAGTTGCGTCAAATGCTACAGATGCCGTGGGGGGAGTTGATGAAAGTAGCAAGGGCGCAGTGGGCGTGCAGGAAGGTGCTTTAGTGGACGAGGGTGCAAGAGGGAAGCAGCAGGCGGAAACAGACAAGGGGCTAGGCGGGACTGGCGGTGGCGATGCACGGAGGGAGGCGGGTAAGATGCTGCGTGGGAGTGGTGGAGAGGGGTTGGAAGCGATGACTGATGGTATGTGTGAGGCAGGGAGCAGCAGTGCGGGTGGAGAAGCAGAGCAGGGGATGAGTGAGGGGAGCAGTGGTTGGGGAGGGAGGGGGAGTGGAGGAGGGGGGAGAGGAAGAAAGGGGAGTGATGGCCGTGTGCCAGATCACGTGCGCAATCCACACAAATACACGGCTTATGAGGTGGACTGGTGGGCTGGGGGGTGGGGAGAAGGGGGCCCCGCAGGTGAGCGCGGGGGAGGGGCCAGTGCTGGGGGAGAAGGGGACATTAGTGGGGATGGGGGGATTGGGGAGAATGGGGAGATGGGGGAGATGGGGGAGTATAGAGCAGCGCTGCAGCAGGCTATGGCTGTGAGGCACGTGCGAACAGGCAGGCTGGGGGACTCTGATGCAGGGAGCGGGGCATATGTGAGTGGGGAGAGTGACGCGGGTGGAAAGGCAGCAGCAGGAGCAGGAGAAGGAACAGGAGCAGGAGTTGGAGCAGGGGCAGGAGTGGGATTGGGAGCGGTGGAAGAAGGTGGGTTGCCGAAGCGAGTTGTGTTTGTGAGGCGCACGGAGAGACAGGCCAGTGCAGGCAGGAAGGAAGGGCACGACAAGAACGACGACATGCAAGTGGATGGCGCTGCTGCTGCTGCCGCTGCTCCTGTTGCTGCTGCTTCTACTGCTGTTGCTCTTGCTGCTCCTGCTGCTGCTGGCAGTGGCGATAGTACTGGTGCTGGTGGGGTTAGGGGAGCAGGCCCTGTTGGCATAGCAGCATCTGGCATGCTGGACGATGCTGATGCCTCTTCCATGCTTGATGCGGATGTTTCTCCTGCTGCTGCTGTGGCCGCTCCTGCTCCTGCTCCTCCTCCTCCTCCTGCTGCTGCTGCTGCTGCTGCTGCTGCTGCTTCTGGAAACCTATCCATCGCTGTTTCTGCTACTGCGGGTAGTACGGACACCCCTGGTGCTGCTGATGCTTTCCAGGATGTGTCTGCTAGTCTTGCAGCCTCGGGGGATAAAGAGGGGCATGGGGCACGACCAGCTAAGGGATGGTTCAGGACGGGCGGAGGAAAGTCGGGCAGGAAGAATTTTCGCAGAGGAAGGGAAGCAGCGGAGGAAGAGGCTGAAGGAATGCAGGATGAGAGTTGATATGGGGATGTGTGAGGGAGGTAGGTTGTGCCTGAGTGACATGTATCCGAGACATGCCAGTATAACATTCTCCGAAAGCACATCCGCGACAGGGTGTGCTCAGCTGTTCCAATGGGTTTGGGATGACATTGATGTGATGCTTTCGAATGGGTTCGGACAGACCAGGAACAAGTGTGCTGCACGCCGTTTGTACATCGACCAAATGGCTTGCGAAGGGTTTGAGCTGTAAGCTGAGTTGTGTGGGTTTGATGTGCGCGTTCATTGTACTAGTGGCATTATATGTTTATCTGGAAAAAAACCCATGCCATGTGTTTCTATTCCAGCACATAGAGTACGCAATTAAGGCTGTGTAGACCAGAACACTGATGATAAAACTAATGTAGGTATATTTCGTGAGCACTGCTGGACTGTGGTAGGCGTGGTTGTAACAGAGTAGGGAGGTTCATCGTGGACCCCCCCTTGCTGAACATAGAGTTGAGGAATCGCATTTGCGATCCGAAGTGACCACACTTACGGAATGCTACACAGTTAGTCATCCCAAAGGTAACGACAGCTGTCCTCAACCTACTTTGTCGGTAAGCGTCAGGTACTTGAGAGGGCCAGCTGGCGGATATTTCTCTAAGGACGTGGGCCCAATCGACTTTGATCGGCGTGATCAGCGGCAATAAATAACTTCTAGGAAGACGGGAAGCCAGTTTCAGGCAATCGGGGACAATCAGCTGATCGCGCCAACTCGATCGACTGCCTCGAACAGCCCGATCAGACCCGATCAGACACAATCAGCCCCGATCACTTGGTTGCATGTGATCGGGGCTCTAGGCGATGTAAGCGAAGGGTAATACGCCTCGCCATGAGGTCTCGAAAGTCCTCGCTTATACATACAGACCAGCGAGAACAGTTCTGGAGCGGACTCTTTGCGCAGTGCGATATTGCGACATTACCACGATACCTGGATTCGCCCATCTCGCAAAAGTTGGGGTGCAACTACCAGGTAATGGACCAACGCCTGTTATGCAAGAGCGCAGAATATTCGAAGAAAATCTATTCTGATCGGGCGGCGTGAGAAAAACGATCGCAAGCAATTCGATCCAATCCAACCCGATCAGATCCGAGCCGATCAAAGTCGATTGGGCCCACGTCCTAACAGAAAACTACTGTGTGCACTGTTAAATTGCACATGGGTTGGCATCACGCGTCGTTACCGCTGCGATGTTTTAGATTTGAAGTTTCACGTGGTAACTGTTGTGGTCGCCTTCCCGTGCGCAGTACACGTCCGTGAATTATCACGTGTAGCTGTTAGCTTTCTAAATAATCCTGCCCACCGTCATGTTATTCTCTAATACTTGTATATCAACACAACCCACTGATTTTACAGTCTAGACCTCAGGATTACATACGTTTATTCCCCAGTGCTTCGAGAAGGCAACAGTCCATGCACTATTTTGCAGCGATGCTTCCGACCCAGCTTCCGCCGTTTGTCCGTTTCATACCCAGTTCAAACCCGAAAATCCCCAACCCGCACATGTTTTGTCTCTGCCAATCGCAACGACCCGCGCTTCCCCCACCCACAGACCTGTCTGTCTGTATCTGGTACTCTCTTCCCCTCTGTTCCATTCTGCTCCTTTCTACAATAGCTGAAGGCCCATCCACTCCAGCTGCTCGAGGGTTGAAATAAGCACCTAAACCCGTACACAAGCAGCCCCATCACACACTGCCAAGCTAAAAAGGCAGCTCCTTAGGACGAGCCGTTCCACCAGGCGTTTGTAGCTAGTCATGGCAGCTGCCACAGCTTCTATCAAAGCCACAACTCATGCGGTAGAACATGCCTCTGTCGAGCCCGATGTTTCCAGCCGACTCGCCTCGTTTTCTGACTGCACGACAAGCGATGGCAAGTCGGGAGCTCTTCCATCTAGCAACACCACCACCAGCAGCACCACCAGCTACAGCAGCAGTGACGTCAGCTTCAACTCGACCGCGTTCCGGTCAGCGAGGGAGCCTATTCGGAGCGTCGCCGCGTGGACTTCCCCCGGCCTTCCCCCGAACCCTCTGGGCATCACCTCTGCTCGCTCCGCCATATCTCATCGTGAATACGTCCGCGATGGTCTCAAGTCCTGTCGCTGCCCCTGCTGCTGCCGCGACGACGACGCGGACGACGACTTGTCCTCTGCGCCTTCGTCGTCGCCCGGCGACGCCCATGCGACGGACCATGCGACGGTTTCCTCGGGGCCGATAGAGACCGGCCACCATAGCAGCGGCATTAGCGGGCGGCACGGCCGAGGCTCTCGGTTCAATCGCTCGTGGTCGCGCTTTGGCGCGGCGGCATCCCCAAGCAGTGGCGAAAGCGGCGGCAGGAGTGCATCACTAGAGCCGCCGCAAGTCGACGCCAAAAACCACCAGCAACAGCAGCAGGAGCAGGAGCAGCAATTAAGAGCCGAGGCGGGTTTCCCTTTATGCCAGCAGCAGGACTCGCAATCTTCAGTCTGCCGCCCAATCCCGCACCAGCCGTTCTTCCGACCGCCAACGCCCATCCCCTCGTTAGAAGCACCCCGCAGTCCCGCCCCCTCCACGCGACCCGCGGAAGCGGTGGCGGGCTCGCGGGCGCTGAGGGCAGATGCGGGAAACGCGGAAGGTGATGCGGTTGATGTTTATGGGGTGTTGGGAAGGTGCGAAGCGGAGGAAAGAGGAAGCCCGGCGGTAAGGCCGCAAGGGGCGTGCTCTGAAGGGGATCCTGAGGGGAGTGGTGCGAGCATAAGTGCGGTGAGGAGCGCATTGGCGGAAGCGGTGGGCGGAGGAGAAACGGCAGCAGCGACGGGGAGCTGTTTGGAAGGACTCTTACCGGCAGTACCGGCAGCGGCGTCGGCGGAGGAAGATAAAGAACGGAAATCGAATCGCGCGGAGGCGCAGAGTGCGGGAGAGGATGTCGACGAGAGAGGCGACGCTGGCGGCGATGCCGACGACGCGTCGCTATTGGATGGCGACTTGCTGGTGGATATTCTGTCGCCGCCAGACGACGGCCATGGGCGCATCCCCGCCGCGCTCCACTGCACGCAACACTCCTCCGCCAAGTGGTTCCATCCCCCGCTCGCCTTCCCCGTTCCCCCGCTTTCCATCCCTCCCCCTGCCGTCCCTCTCTCCCCATCTCCCGCCGGCCCCGCTCCCCTTCGGTCTACGCTCTACGCGTCCGCGCGCCCCGCCGCACCCTCGCGCGTCACCCCGCCCGTCTCACCCCTTGCGAGTTCCGCCAGTCTCCGCCAGTTTTCCCCCAGCCTCCCCGCTCTTGAACTCTCCGACCCTGCTTGCACGCCGTCAACGCCGCACCCTCCCTTCTCCCTCTCTCGCATTCCTTTCAGTGCCCCTGCACTCTCCCCCGCGCAGGCTTCCTCCCCCTCTTCCCCCTCTTCGTCCCCCTCCCCGTCGTCCTCCTCCCCCTCCTCCCTCTCCCCTGTCTCCCCGCAAACTCCCTCTTCCCCTTACCCCTCAACCTCCGCCCAATCTTTTCCGCCGGGAAAAACACGCTGGTTTTCCCGCGCGGGTTCCCTCCTTGCGCCTCCCCCTGCGCCCCTCGGCGCGCTTTTCTCCGCCTTGGCGAAGCATCTCTCTCTGCGCGTGGCGCTCTGGCGCCGCCAACGGCTGCTGAAGGCGGAAGCAATCGGGGGCGCGGAAGGAATCGGCAGAGGGGGAAGCGTGCGCGTGGACGCGCGGACGGTGCGCGCCATCGTGCGCGCGCAGGAAGAGCTCCGCGCAGAGGTGCGCGCATGGTGTGTGGCGGAGACCTCGGGCGGAAAGGCGGAGGGTCGCGGACTCGGTTTCGGGGACGAAAGCGGGAGAGGGTGTGGTATCTGGGGAGGGGGGGAGTTGCAACGGGGCGAGGAAGGGGCGGAGCGGGAGGAGGAGGGGGAGGGGGAGGCGGTACCAGGCGAGGGGGAAAGAGACGGCGGCTCGCGGGTGTGGTTTGAGTGGAACGGATGGCAGTACTATTTAAAGCCATGGCAGGCGATAGTGGGCGATGCGGACTTTCCGGGTCAATATGCGCGCATTGTGAGTTGCCTCGAGCGCCTCTCCGCGACCATCAGCGCCCCTGAGGCGCAACGCGCGGAGCTGCGCGCACCGCAGCCGCAGCAGCCGCCGCAGCAGCCGCAGCGGGAGCAGCAGCGGGAGCTGGCGCAGAAGGCGAGGGCGGAGGCGGAAGAGAGGGAGCAGATCCGCAAGCTAGGCGTGCGCGGGCGGTACCTGCGCCAGCTGCGCGAGGGGCGGCGGGGGGAGCCGCCGCTGCAGTGGCTGGACGACGCGGCTGCCGCGTACGTGCTGGACGGCGGGGAGTGGCAGCACGTGGGGTCTCCGCGCTTCTGCGCGTGGATCGCGCATGTGTGCCGCTTCCCCCACTGGCACATGCCCTGTGTGGCGCGCCGAGCTACCAGGTCCGTCCCCGAGTGTCCATCACGCCTCTCCACTGCCTGCTCTCTGTCTGCCTGCTCTCTGCCGCACTCCCTGCTCCACCCGTGTCCTTTCTCCATCCCTCTCCCTGCTTCCCCACCGCCCTCCTTGCTGCGCCCCTACCCCCCCTCCTCCCCCGCGCATCCCCCTGGACCCCCACCATCCGCTTACGCCCCGGGCATATCCACTCCACTCCTCTTCCCCTTGCTCCCTGTATCTACTCCGCCTGCACTGCGCCCCCCTCTTACCCCCTCTCTCCCCCTTTTCCCCGCCTCCCCCCTCTCCCCTTTTCTCTGCCCCCGTTCCCTTCTCCCCTACCCCCTCCGCCTCTCATCCCTTCAGGGTAGCGGACATATTCGGGGGACCCGCATGTGTAGCAGCGAACCTAGAAGACTATTTTCGCCTGTACGGGGCCGACACTGCAGCCTCCCTAGCCTCCGCCCTGCCTCCACGGCACCAGTATGCTGGTAGAAGCATGGCTGCTTCTTCTTCTCGTGTGGATGGGCGGAGGGGAGGACTTGGTGCTGCTAATCGGGAAGGGAGTGGTGGCCATGGTGGAGTGGAGGAGTGGAGGCAGGAGTTTGGCGACATGCGGGGGTTTTGTGAGTGGTTGGATGCGGCCAAGGCCCTGGACCAGCTTCAGTGCTTGGTTGATGTGCTGAGCGAGAGGCAGGAGGAGCGGAAGCAGCAAGAGCAGCCAGAGGGATCAGCCACCACCACTAACAGCAGCAGCAGCAGCAGCAGCAGCTGCTTTCCTGCTGGAGGTGCGTGGAGGGTGGTCGAAGGTGCCATTGTGGTGGTGTGTCACATGAAGCCTTCTCGCGTTGCTCTCCTCGCCCGGGCCCTCCACTCATCTCCCCGCCAGCTGCAGCAGCAGCAGCAAGAGGAAGAGCAGCAGCTGCATCAGCATGAGCAAGAGCAGGTGATGCACGAGGGTATGCGTGTAGCAGAGAGGCTGCTGCATCGCTTCCTGGCCTTCCACCTTCCACCCAAGTTCCAGTCCAGCTGCTGAACGGATTCTTGAGCTGGAACGGGCCGTGCAGGGGAGGTGAGATGCAGTGACGGTGGTTGTAGTCATTCTCGTGCTAGGTGCACTGTTGTTTTGTGTACTGTACAGTAGCTACAGTACCGTTCTTGTTGTGATGGCAAAACAACCGCTCTCCGCATGTATATTTATACAGTGTATCTAGTGATTATACTTTCAGCCAAGACATGGGCCTGTACAAATGCACCCTAAAGCATTTGCATATGGTAGATGGCAAGATGCTCAAGTATATGGGCTTCCCGCATTTGACATTCCGAGTGTACTACTAGTACCGATACCCTTCAATGAATTCCACCAGCTTAGGAATGGAACAGTGGTACATGAGTAGGTGCTACGAATAGGTTTACAAGCAACACAACACTGAAAATACACACTTTATTCTTCTGTTCTGTAAAGCGAACATTGGCAGAGACTGTGCCACCCCCCCTCCCCTCTGTTGGGAACAATAAGTCTTAAAGTGCCTCTGTCGTGTCGAAACTCAGGACACAAACGAAGCAGTCCAAATCGAAGCATCGCGAGTCAACCCTCGGAGGTTAGGATAGCCGCCTAGAGGTTACGCGGAGGTCAAAAGTCAGCGACCTTTGACTTGACAAATACAGCGCGACAGCAAAGACACACAACTGACTCGACATTGAGCAGTTGCCCGAGTCGCACTGTATCGAATCGCAACAACAAAACAGTTTAATTATATCTATTCGTATTCCTTGTACTCTTATATAAAGCCTTGTATTTGCTTGTTTTAATCAACTCACTTTGCCCTCACATACTAGCGCAAGGTGGTTCAAGGCAGGGCCTCGGATGTCAGGAATTTTACCCTGAATTCCTGAAGTTTGACCCCCGTTTTTTATCATGACTCTGATGCATCCGCCTTTTTTTTTCAACGACCCTGATGTTTCAGTGTTTTTTAATTTCGAACTCTGATTTTCCAGTGTTTTGTGTTTGAGGACACTGACGAGTCAGTGTTGTATCGGGGTCTATCCTGAAACCGACAACTCCTTGTTTTGGCCCGCCGTCACCGTGCACCGTGCACCAAGGGGATTTCTGGCGAAACATGCTCTGACAGGGCAAATCTCTTGTGTGAGGGGCGAATCTGCTGCAGTGTCAGGGCAAATCTGCTGTGACTGGGCGAATTTGCTGTGCTGCGACAGCGCGTAACGACTGTGCAAGGTCGAATTTGTTGTTAGGGCGAATCTGCTGTGATGAACCTGTTGGAAACAATGGAACTTAAACGCTTCAGCAGTGTCAAAACATTGCACCAGAAGCGAGGCAACCTACACCGAAGCACCTGCGAGTCAACCCTCGGAGGTTGAATCGGCTGCAGGAAGTTACGCGAAAGTCAAAGGTCGCTGACCCTTGACCTGACAAGAACAGCGCGACAGTTAAGGACACACAACTGACTCATTACAGAGCAGTTGCCCGAGTCGCACTGTATCGAACCGCAACAACAACAGTAAAAGTAGTTATAACCGTATCTCTTCATATTCCCTGTATTATTATATAAGCTTGTATCCTTTCAATATAATTTAATATACTTTGCTCTCACACACTAGTGCAAGGTCGGTTCACAAAGCTTCATTAAACGCTTCCGCTATTACAAAGTATCCTACCCAGAGTTATCCTCTGTAAAGATCCTTAGGGCCTTTTCAGCCCAACATGGTATGAGAGCATACAGGGGAAACTCTACCTTTTCAAGATCATTACAAGACATGGCAACAAACAAGGAAAGGAGCTCCCCTAATGGCTCCTCGGGCACTACTCCTACTCCACCGCCAGCCTCTGGCCTGCAGACAGAGGAAGGCACGGCAGCAAGACCAAGGGGAACGTCAACCGAGACCCCCACGAACCATCCTTCTGACTTTGATCAGAGCATGATGGAGAAATTCTTCTCCTTCATGTCCTTCTACGAGCAACACCAACAGTCGGGACCTGCACAGACACACAACAGCAACAACGGAGCGACACCCATGAGCCTTGATGGGTCGTCATATGCGCGAGGGAATCAACAGCAGCAACCCACCTTCGCCCCGTACGAGCGCGGGCCGATCAGCTTCCTGCCTCAACCTCCACCTGCGCAAGACAAACCAATGGACGCATTACAAGTTCAGTCGCAATTCGCGCATGTCTTGAAACTGCAAACATCAAGACCTTTTGACGGAAAGGACTTCTTCACCTGGTCCTTTGAATTCGAGCTAATGATGGAGGGCGCGCAGATACTCGGTTTCTTCGACGGATCCCTGCAGTATCCAGCAAACGGCACACAGTATGAGAAGCAGCAGTATACGTATCAATCGATGATGGCGTATACTATTCTACTGAGAAACATCACACCAACTCAGCAGCAGAACATTCGCTCTTACCGGACCTTCGGCAACTCGGCGGAACTCGCGTATGGCCATCTGAAGAACCTGTATCAAGCAACAGACAGTGTAAACCAGAGCAGGTTAATGGCGCAGTTGACAACAGTTGAAATGAAACCAGGAGAAAAGGGGTTGGCGTATATCAGCCGATGTCGCGAATTGCGCGACAAGCTTCTTCGATGCGGAGGAACAATCTCTGAAGACGCCTTCGTAACAGTCATCATCGGTGGCCTCGGTCCTCAGTGGCGCGCCACCAAAGCAATTCTTCGAGCCCACGGAAGAATTTCTGAAGCAGCACTCTGCGCCGAAATACACGCCGAGTAGCAGGACATGGATCTGCAAGAAGAACGACACAAACGAAAGACGACAACGTCAGAATTCGCTTTCCATACTCAGCGACGACACAACAACTACAACAACCGACAGCAGCAGCCGAAGCCAGTACCTCCGTTTTGTCACATCTGCAAGACATCAGGGCACCCACGCACGCACTGCCCGAATCGACAACAGTTAACTGCCTTGCAGCGGCAACTACGACCTTCAAGCAGTCAAGTGACTTCAACACAGGCGAACCCGACGACTCAGGTCCAAGCCTCAACTTCACCGGGACAACCGGCACAAGGAGCAAGAAACATCATCAGCTGCATGGCAAGACTGAGCGAATCCTGCATCACCGATTCACCGCCACATTACTCACCAGAAGACCATCTCGATAACACCACACCTCGCCGCGAAGCACTCAAACCAACTCCAACGTACGCCGCCATCGCCCAAAGCGAGCCTTCAGGGATAGACACGTGGTTCTTGGACAGCTGTTGCGGACAGCACATGTGCTCTTCAGGACGCTTCGTACAACAAGAATACCAGCTTCAACGGGAAGTCGTCATAACCGTCGCCAACAACCAGAACCTGCGCACACGACGGCAAGGAATCGTACAACTTCAGTCGCGAGAGACAAATGTCATACTACAGATGTCAAAGGTTTTAATTGCAGAAGGCCTCGGCTACAACTTACTGAGTGTCAGTCAGCTGATGGCGAAAGGTATTCACCTCGAAGCAGACAGCACCATCCAGGAGTTCAAGTTGTATCATGGGAGAGGAGGTCTCTACGTCGGGAAGGCGGTCCTCAAGAACAACGTCTTCGTCTTGGACTTCGTTCCCGATCTTGGCACCGCCGACAGTGACGCCATAGTTAACTTCACCAGCTGGACACACCCTCCGGACCTTGACCCTGACTTCAGTCCGGGCGGCTTCTGGTATTCGTATACCATCCCTGAGACAGCGCGAACAAGGGCATTAGCAACAACATCGGCAGCAGCAGAGACAACATCGGGAGCAACAGGAACAACATCGGCAGCAGCAGAGACAACAACGACACCAACAACAACACCAGTCGCTGGTCCTTCAACGGCACCAGTCCTCGTTGACGACGCTTCACCGACACCTGCACAACAGTTTCAGCCAGCACCACGAGAGTTTCATCACAGCCCCAACTTCACCACCAGCTTTTACTCCAACTCGGATCTGTACCGACGATCACCCGGACACCGTGCCGACGAAGCAACCTGGCACGCAAGAATGGGACATCCAAGCAACACAGTGTTAAACAACACAATACGAGCAGGAGTGCTCGACAAAGACTCACTCCTATTAACCAACGGACAAGAACTCCAACGCGTACGCGGCACATGCTTCACCTGCCCAGAAGGAGACCTACCTCATCAACCGTTCCCATCGCACCACAACCCAAGTGCACCAGCTTACACACCACTCGAAAAGGTGTACATCGACATCCTGTACAACCAAGAACCAGGGCAGAATACGTACCTCTACACGATTACCTTCATCGACGCCGCAACACGCTACGTCTGGCACCTGAATCTCCCAAGCAAAGATATGGCGTTCGAGGCGTTCGTCGCGTGGCTTCCCGTAGCAGAGCGGGAATCGGGCGTCAAGTTAAAAAGCTTCCAAACAGACGGAGGAGGAGAATATACCTCGACGAGGTTCAAGAACTACCTGGCTGAGAAAGGCATCAAGCGCCTCATCTCCCTTCCTTACGCCCATCAACAACAGGGTGTAGCAGAAAGGCTGAACAGGACCCTCCAAAACACCATGCGGAAACTGTTACGTGGCATGCGGCTTCCCAACCACCAGTGGCCAGAAGCGATGGACCACGCTGTAATGCTACACAACTTGCTCTCCTCGTCGTCACTCCCGAACAACGCATCACCGCATCTGCTGTGGACCGGGAAATTGGGCAACACAAAAATGTTACGAGTTTTTGGGTGCATGGTACAGTACCGACCACCATCTGCACGGGCCGGCCGATTTTCGCAACGAGCACAGTGGGGGCTACACCTGGGCATCGAAAAACACTACAACGCATGGAAAATCTTCGACGTCCACACGAAGGAAACAGTGGCAGCACGTGACATCATCTTCTACGAACGACTCACCATGCAAACTTATCTTGCCAACCTGGACGAGAACCGAGACCCCACAGGTGGTTTCCGTGGCAGCCGAGCCTTCGCATCGGCAGAAGACGAAGCTGAGTGGGACGAGCAGAACGTGGAAGGAGCCTCGAAAGCAGCCGGACCACTCCCGTACTGC